GAGGGTGCTCCTGGGAGCGGGGCCCAGGGGAGGGGGGTCACAGCCGGGCCCAGCCACCGCTCTTGTGCCTTCCTGTCCCGCATCACGGTCCCCACGGCTCTGGCACCACAGCCCTCCGTGGCGGCTCTTGAGCTCGGGCTCCGCAGAGCCGGGCGGGGGGAGGAAGGACCCCGGGCCGTCGGGCTCCAGGAGGCTCTGAGTGACCCGCCCCGCGTGCTCTGCCCACAGTGCCTGGCCGCCGGCTCCATCATCATGAACCGCGAGCTGGAGAGCATGGCCATGCGCCCGCTGGCCAAGGAGCTGACGCGCAGCCTGGAGGACGTGCGGGGCGCCCTCCGCGATCAGGCGCTGCGGGACCTCAGCACCTACACGGAGAAGATGAGGGAGGCGCTGAGGCACTTCGATGTCCTGTTTGCTGAGTTCGAGCTGAGGTGACCCTGAGGGGGAGGCCCCAGCCCTGCAGCGCGTCCCGGGTCCCGGTATTCAAGCTGCACACGCCCACTGATGGCGGTTCAGGGCCATCAGTCCACGTAGTTAACCCCGGAGGCCCAACGCGGGGCCGCTGGGGGGTCAGGCTGGGTGACCTTCCCGGGGGTCTGGCCCACCCCCTCTGCCTCTCCCTGATGCACCCCAGCGCTAAAGACCCGGGAGCTTCCTGCAAGTAGCCGTCACCCAGAGTGGACGTGCCGCCCGCCAGAGGCTCTGCTGCTCCCCTCTGCCTCCTGCCTCGCCTCCGCCTCTGACCCACCCCCCACCTCCGACCTCCTGCCTCACTGCCCACCTCTGACCTCTACCCTCTGCTTCCCACCTCGCTTCCTGACTCCGACCTCCCCCCTCTGGCCACCTGCCTCACTTCCTGCCTCTGACCTCTCACCTCTGACCTCCTGCCTCACCTCCCCTGGTGACTGGGCTCACCGTATGGGGCTTGTTGGTCGCCAGCTGCCCCCTGATCCCACCTGTTCACCCACTCACCCCACAAACACCCGAGCATCACTTCCATGCTCTCAGATCTGGGGCACGGCAGAGCAAGGGAGAGGTGGCCATGGCTTCTGGGCCACGGGGACGCTCCAGCTGCCTGGGATGAGGGCAAGGGCACCTCCCCAGGTTAGGGGGGGGTCTGTGAGGATCACAGGGTGCCCTCTCCCCCATCCCCCAGCACCACCACCTGCCGTGAGCTCCACCTGTCCCTTCCTGCCCGCTGTCCAGCCAGTGCCTCCCCCCCACTCCCCACGGGCTGCCGTCACCTGCTCCTTCCTCGGAGGACACAGGTGGGGCCTGGGGGCCTCCTTGCAGGGCTTTGGAGAAGTGCGGGACCGGGAGTCAGGCACGCCACCAGCTCCCACAGGCGCGGACACGCTCGCAGTAGGCGAGAAACAGTGGGACCCCAAATCCACACCACGGTGATCCCAGTTAGTAAAAGCCGTCCATCGTGTCACCCGATGACCTCGGGAAGGAAACCAGCCTGGATGTTAAAGGCGGTTCTCTCTAGGAGGTGGGAGCGCGGACAGTTGTTTTCTGTGTCCTCTTCCAGATAAGCTTTTATAACGAGGAAAAGTTAGAGCTACTGACTCAGAAGGAAAGAAACACGTTGTCACCCCGGGGGACATTTGGACAAAGTGTCACTTGCCCGTGAGGCCCCCATGCTCACACCGCCCAGTCCTGGCCGCCCCCACCCCCACCCCCACCCCGTGGTTCACCCACCCACACGCGCGTTCATTCTTGCACTGATTCTCACGCGCTCACCAGGGTGGGTGCCCGGGCAGGGGCGTCACAGAAGTGGGCGGTCGGGGCCCAGACCGGGCAGGGCCGGGGGCCAGGAGGCACTGGACCAGGCTGACCCTGCTTTAAAATAGACACGGCCCTGCTGGGAGGCGTGCACGTAGGAAGCTGA